TCTCTCTCTCTCTCTCTCTCTCTTACACGCTCTCTATGTAATTATTGTATACAGAATTATATTTCACTAAACAAATACCAAAATCTATATAAACTGATGATATATTTTGGTTGTCACAAAGAATATTTGCAATACAATTAACCAAATAACATTATGACCATGTTGTTGATGATGATAGAGTTGGATCATACTGTATCCGGAGGGTACGTTCTTCGATAGGATTTACCCGAAAGTGTTGGCCAATAGTCGGAAATACAGCCAAAAGTTAGATCGCGAGCCCTTCAAGAATCTACTGATACCGCGTTCGCGAGCCCTGCGAGTGATTTGCAAGAACTTTAGGCATCGATTCGATGCCATTCTCGACATTACTGTCATATATCCAAACACCAGAGGACCGAATGGCGTGCGCTTCTCCTCGCCGTCTATCGTCGGTAAAACTCAATTCATTTTAACACTCAATTCAATGAGAATTCATTGAAAGATATTGAAAATTATTGCACTTTTGACTATATGTTTAACAATTCGCAGAATATTTAACTGGTGTTCACAACGAGGTAGAGATTATTATGCAATATATTGAGATGAAAGAGTTGCCCGAAAGTGATAATGATTTGGAGAAATGGTTATACGAGTTGTATAGACATAAAGACAATCTCATGACTGAGTATTATTCAAGCGATAAATCCATTTGCGAGATATTTGATGTAAATCCGGGAACTGTTATTAGACATGATAGGAAACCATTCATTATCGCCCATATATTGCTACCAATGTTTGTCCTGCCATTCCTTGTCATTCCAAATGGCATTACATATTATTTAATCACTTATTTGGCAATTTTACTCATTTGTTACATACAATTAATTGTGTTTTTTGTTATTCAATAATAAATTACCACAGATTTTATTTAAAACATTGATTTTTCCTTTATGCACTTAAAAGGATTTAAATTGTTTTTAAATAAATTCTAGCCTGTGCATATTATTATACAGAATATTATTATAAAGTTTATTTTATCATATTTATTATATTTGTCTTTACATATTGTTTCAAATATCAGTAAACTATTCAACAAAATCATATAAGTCATTGAAAATTAATTGTAAATAGAAATTACCGTTTCTCATAAGTCTTATGCCATTCTTATGGGTTTGTGTCATCACTCGCTTATACGAGGAAACGGATCCTTTGCCCTCACTTTCACTTCATTTTACTTTAGTTTTCCATTTGGTTTTTAAAAACTATTATCCGATTTAGTGCCGTAAACAGCAATCATAAGAACACTTTCTCCAGATTTTGGACACAAAAGTTAAGTTTGAAAAATATTTCTTACTTTTATTTTTTGTGAAAATAGTATAAACTTAACAAAAAGTTTCTTAATTTAAGAGACAATATTGTCGTTACAATTAATACAAATAGTTTTTCAGACATATTTAGGAGAAGATGTTGTGATTGTATATCTTGAGCAAAATCACATCAAGTCGTGACATTTATTTCCAGCCCCAGCCGGCGCTCAGACCTCCATTCCAACCATAACCGGATCGGAGACCACCGTTCCATCCGAGGCCGCGACCCCATCCCAAACCACCACCGATTCCGAGGCCACGACCCCATCCCAGACCGCCTCCCAAACCGGTGCTCAAGACGACAGATTTACCGGCGTAACCGTTGTAACCGTTCCAACCATTCCAGGACGGAGACGACCGCACGCCGTAACCGAGCGAACGGCCCCAACCGTTGCCGTAACCATTGCCCCAACTATTGAGACCCCAGTTGTTTCCGTACAAACCGTTGTTTCCCCAACTGTTTCCGGCCCATCCTCTGCCCGCCCATCCGTTGTTACCCCAGCCGTTACTCCAGCCGTTGTTCCAGTTGTCGCCACCCCATCCCAGTCCACCCCACGATCGGATGGCAGGGTTGGCCAGCGCTACGCCCAAAAGTGCGGCTAAGATCTGTCCGTTTAATAGTATTCAAAATTAGTTTAAATAGTATTCAATTAATAACAGATATTTGTGTTATAATTACCAATAATTTCATGTTTCAAGTGATGTTTTGAGTCGGGTTTGCTTTTGCAACACAAGTAGAGGACTGTTTGTTTGTAAACTGAGCTCAAAAAGCGATATAATTTTCATGTCTTATGAGCGCCTCTTTATATACTATTCGCAAAAGCCTTGGTTTTTGTCACACTTTCTTCAATAGTGTATATGAATTATACGTTGATTTCTAATCTCTGGTAATGAACTTCTCTCTACCGTAAGGAGTCTTTGAGATCGCACTTCAATATATCGGGTGTATTATTAGAGCTCCGGGTTGTAAGGCATTGAAAAAACTTTTACATAGATTTCTATATAATATATTACATTATGTGCTAAATTAAAGGGCGTTTTATCAGATTAAACGACTAATTAATATAAATTTCAAACCAAATGTCGTGGAAGATGTGGCGATAAAAGCATTTTGCATATAAAAATACTTTTACCTTTACTTTTCTTTATTATTAAATATTTAAAATATGTGTTTTTATATTATTTATTTAAAGGCATAAATAATTCATCGAAAAGTGAAAACTATGCTTAACTTAACGCTAAAGAAAGTCATAATCTTTTTGTTACTTCTGTTGTATAATAAATGTCAAAATATATAATGAAAGTAAGTTTTGAGTTTCGTTTACCCAAAAACGTGTCCAAAATATTGAATTTTAAATGCTTTATAAACCGTACTAAAAGTGTTTTATGGCTCGATTACCATGCACAAAATAGATAGTATCTTATTTTTGTACTCTACGTAAGGTAATTAATTAATTTTGGGCATTTTTATGCAATATATTATATAACGTGGTAAAAACACAGTCCCGACTCGTGAAAGAAATTGGTGAAATTGTGGGCATTTATTGCATAAGAAATAGCATTTAAATCTACATTTGATTGGCTTTTGGGAATTTGTGGCAAAAAAATATTTTTTTTTGGTGAAAATAATTCATTTCAAGGACCAGACAGTGGTTTTCAGACAGAGTCACAAAAAGTCCATTAAATTCTTTGTTTAGATAATAGACATCTTGTTTTGCAAAAAGGTTTTCGTCGGGTTTTTTGCGGTCAATTTGTGTCTCGTATTTGCAGTGAATAACAAATGTATATCAATTTAAACACACGATTCAATTAAGTATAATCTAATACATTGAAAAAATGATCAACACGTTTTAATTGAAAATTTTTAATTCTATTTATGTTCATGATTAATTAAGCAAAATTTTATCACAACTTTATTAAAAATATTGAATTAATTAATATTGAAACAGAGAGTGAGAAAAAAGATTTCAAAAATACTTGAAGTTATTTACTAATCAAAAGCAAAGTGTATATAATGTTAATACACTTTGATTGCCCTGATTTTGACATTAAAATCAACACTCAATGAAATAATTTCTGTATTTTTTCATTGAATACATAAATAATATGGTAAATGAAATTAATTTACTGATTATTATTTGCCGTGTTTTGTAGATTTTCCCAAAAAAACATTGCGATTTATTAATATCAAGACCTTTGCCATTAAATTATTAATATCCAATATTTTTAATAAAAAGTCGAAATAATAAAATTAATACTAATAATAATGTAAAACTAATTCATGATTTTATTTAATTATTAAGATTTATTTTCATTAAAAGAGATTACACAAAATAAAAGTCATATTGATAACTTTTGAAAACAACTTTCTATCAACAGATATGATAACATTATCTATCATCAGATTAATACATACCTTTATGTATCAAATCTTATTAACAAAGATGTAAACTTTATTTAAAAAACAAAATTAAAAGGGTTATCAACTATACTGTATATCATTTCTATTGAGATATATTATAAATTATAACTAATAGATAAAAAGTAGGATTAGGAATAGGATTACGTATAATATTTCTCATTAAAAATGACTTAATTTGCAAATGTAATCAATTACTTTTTTAATTTGAGTAAAATAATGGGTAATATTAAAAAAATTATAATCCAAACTGTAATCGATATAAACCCCAAATACACGGATTGGCGGTCAAAATCTAATCCCTTTAGTATGATATCTCTCAATGAAATTAGAGACAGAGTTTGTGGCAAACCATAGCTTATGGTTCTGATCATCGATGGCATGCCTTCGAGCGGCCAAATGGATCCCGAGATAAAGAAGTAGATATAAAAGGTGCTCAAAGTGGCCATAATGGACGCGTGCTCGTCGCTCACCACCGATGATATCACTAAACCTACAATTATGCAAACAAACATCAGTTAAAACATTGGTTATAATTAAGATGTTATCGCAATCTTATACCAAAACTCATGCCAGCGATTCCCTGCAATATAATCATCAAAAGCGTATACAAAATGTTGCCATTGTTTGACAACTCAAAGACATAAAACAAGAATAGCATCAATAGTATGGTTTGACAGGCGATGACAAATGACTGGAGGATGAGTTGTGAGGCAATTATCTCATGCATCTTAAGGCCGGTCAGAAGCGATCGCTCGAGTAGTCCACTGTTGCGCTCCAACACCAGAGTCAGTGCAGTCATGCCTACAGTAATGAAGAATATGTTGGAAATGATGACTCCGGGCGCTAAATAGTCCTGAAATTTGGCGTCAATCGAGCCATAGACCGCCGGATCCATGTATTGCACCAACGGTTCCAGTATTTTGGTCTGCAATTTCTTTACCAGATTCTCATTCATTGGCATATATTTACTAATTATTGTTTTGACAAATTTTGCTTCCACTTCTTTCAAGTCTTTGATCAACGATTGAGTGATTATCATGTCTTTGAATAGTTATAAAATAGTTGATTAATCTCTTGATAACATTATTAGGCATATCTATGAATACCCGTAAAATCTCCGTAGAAGTGAATTGTACTCCTTTTGATGTCGATGTCTTTGAAACTTAAATCAGTGGTAAATCTCCTCATCATAGATGTGGTAAAGTCTTTGTCAATGATAAACGCGCCGCGAATATCGTCATCATTAGAGACCGCGTCAATGGCCTCTTCTTCCGACTTAAAATATACCTAATTATTAATTGTAAAAATAATTTTAAAACAATTTACTATAAGTTTATATGTTTGCAAACTTACAAATTCAATCTCTTTGTGGTCGATATGATCTAAAAACACATTACTTAATGAGATAAATGTCTTATTTCTGACAATGGATTCATCGTGTTCTCCGTTATAGAGGGCTATTTGAATGCCATAGGGTTTGGTTCCGAGACATAAGCAAAATATAGTGACACAAATCGCGGGTAACATTATTTGAAACAACAGTCGACTATAAAACAAACAAATAATACAGTATAACAAAAATTCACAATAATTGCAATGTTTAGCACAAACTATACAGAAATATATGAATTGTAATTACGGTATATTTCTCATGAGAATAATGCCATTCTTATGGGTTTGCGTTATTACTCTTTGACACGAATTGACTCGAGATTTGGGCCTAAATTCCTCATCATTTAACTGTAACTTTGCTTTCGTTACATAACTATTGTTATAATTGTTATGATTGTTATTGGCTTTTGTCTCGATATAATTTTGTGGCATATTTTCATCCAAATTCTGGCACATGTTTAGGAAAACTTTCTCCAAATTTTTTGCGTAAAAGTGATTCAATAGGTGTTGAGGCGAGTGTTCAACCAGTAGTCGTCCTTTTCTCATAAGTGATATCTTTGTTATGGGTTTTAATTAAAAAATGACATTATATTTGTTAATTTAGCACAAAACATATCCATAATTAGTTACCACGTGTGCTCTTCGGGCCTCTTCTATATAATGTGTGGTAATAATAATAGTCGTCGACTCCCTCTCCGATAACTCTACCAAATGTTCCCAAATCCTAATGTTTTCAATTATAATGATATGAATTTGCAAATTATAATAACAAACCTCTCCCTTATGAGAGGGTCGGTGCCAACAGTTGGCTCATCCAGTATAAGAAGTGGTGGATTATGTATCTAAACAGTAATCATTGTCATTAAATGTATTTAAAATGTAACTTTTCATCCAAACTTACGAGTGATAGCGCTAATGAAACTCGCCTTTTCTGTCCTCCACTTAACATTTAAATTATTTTATGAATAAAACTATCGCAATAAACATGTCATTTAAAATTATAATCAAATAAAAACCTCATTTTTTCAATACGACGATCAAAATCGGGTAAATTGAGAAAATTGACCAAAAAGTCAATCCTCTGAAGTATGAGCTCTTCTCTCAGACCATACAATCGGCTGAAATATCTGAGCGCTTCCAATAAAGTGATCTCTTGAAAGAGTGCCAATTCCTCAACACATTTACAATTATTATTGCAATTAAATTCATAAATAATATAATTTATATATGAATTACTTGAGGCATAAATCCAATACCAATACCCGGGATATTATTTAACGGATCGCTAGGCTTTCTGCCATTTATTTTAATTTTACCCGATTTTGGTTTTATTAAACCTATTATTAAAATATACTGTAACTATAATCACAACATAGAAATTAACATAATTTTAATTATTTTCAATATAAATACCAAGAATAATCCGAAGTAATGTAGTCTTTCCACAACCACTCGGTCCTAATAACCCGTATCTGTATTAAACAATTGAAATTTAATTTATATTGGTTTATAACAACTCATAACGTCTTATCGCATACATCGCACCCTTGGGTACAGACATATTCAGATTATTAATAAACTTGATTTTCTTATCATAGGTGTAGACAAGTGACCGAACTTTGACCATCAATTGTGTCCAATCGAGTGAATCTATTTTGTCGTCTATCGGATCCGGCGATGATTGCGATAACTTTGTTTTAAATTCATTGTTTTGGTCTTTCTTTACGTCTTCATCACTACTGCTCTTAAGAAACATTTTTCCCACAAGTAATTGACTTTTTAATTATGCACTTAATTGAAAAAACAATTTACCAATTTGATTGAAAGTGTATATTTATTGTTAAGCAGACATTTTGATGATCATTGAATAGACAAAAATGCATTTGTATTGCAATTTGCAAACAAAATTTTAAAATAAAAAATATTTCAAATTTACTCACATCTTGAATGGTCTGATATGTCATGTCATATCAATTGTCATTTTAGCACATATTGTATTTATCGTAAAATTAACATCACTTCCTATACAATAATACATTACTACAATTGATTTTGTATTTAAATAACACATTTTCATATTTAACATTAGTTGTCAAGAAAATATTTACTGTAAAATAGGTAGCAAATTGAGCAAGTTACATTTATTTTTATAAAGTAAGACAAATACTATTATGCTAAAAAATTACTATGCAGTCATCATTCACATTATATCTGACCACTTAACCAAAACATACAATTTAATAAACGTTTAATTAAAATACTTTTTTCAATTAAAATCAATACATAAATATGTAATTATTTATTTTTTTGAAATAAATATAAACAATAAAATATAAACTAATATCCAAATAAAACTAGAAATAAATCCTAAATAAACAAATTTCGTATCTAAAGACCAGCCGTTGAACATAATATCGCGAAGTGATTGTATGGACAGAGTTTGTGGCATCAGATAACTGATTGATCTCATTGTGGGAGACATGCCTTCGAGCGGCCAAATAATGCCCGACATTAAGAAATATGCATTTATTGATCCCAACGCCAACATTATTGACGAGTTCTCCTCCTGAGAGACCGCAGATATAACAAGACCTGCAAAATGACAACACATTAATGTCTAATTATTTATAGCTATACATGAAATGAATACAATTAATGTCATTTAAAGTACAAACCAAAAAACATGCCACCGATTCCTTGGAGGACAACAATGAGCATTGAATAGACAACACTCCCATTGTGTGGCAATTCAAACACGTATAACGAGAATACCATTACCAGCACTGACTGAAGGATCACAATCAGGAACTGCAATATGATCTGTGAGGCCAGGATCTCATGCAATCGGAGTCCGGCCACCAGTGATCTGTCCAATAGACCGCTCTTGCGTTCGGTACCCATAGTTAGTGCCGTCAGACCGACGGCCATGAAGTATATCAACGATACGATGACTCCGGTGGCCACGAAATCGCGAAAATTGGGATCCAATGAGCCATAGATGGGTGGATCCATGAATCGGACAAACGGGTCAAACATTCGCACCTGTTTTCCATCTCTTTGTCCATTTGTAATATACTTGTGGACCGATTCCCGCATAAAATCCCTTTCGGCCTCCATTAGGACTCTCATCAATGTCTTCATTATAATTAAATCTAACAAAAAAATTAATTTAGTTTTAATTTAACGGATAATAATAATTACCGGAGAAATCTCCATAGAATTGAATAGTACTGGTAAACAGGTCTTTGTCGGTCACATTGTTAGTAAATGCATATCTATTCATAAAACCTGTTGTGAAGCCTTTATCTATGATAAGCGCACCAAATAAATCCTCTTCATTAATAGCCGAAAGTGCCCTCGACTTTGACGAGTAGTGTTTCTGTCATTATTTCATTCATAAATATATAAAATAAAATTAAGATTAAATTAATATTTCAAACAATGTTCACAAGACTCACGAAATTGATTGCTTTTGTATTGATTTGATTGATAAATATTTGACTTAATGAAACAAAACTGTTGCCTAAATCACCATCATAAAGTGCTATTTGGATATTGTCTGGTCGAGTGCCCACGCATTTACACACTAGCACAATGATTAATGTAGGTAATATCACTTGAAATAGCAAAGCCCTATTAATTACAAATATTAATTAGTTAGTAATTAAATAATTACATAAATAAGTGTATTTACGGTATATTTCTAGTGATTTTAATTGCATTCTTATGGGTTTGAGTGACAATTCTTGACACCGGAGTGACTGAACATTTACTATTAGTTTTCATAGATTTATCATACAATAAATTCACTTCATTTGTGATAAAAGCGTTGTTTGAATTGTAGTTATTGTTTAGTATCTCTAAATAATTTTGTGGCATATTCTCCAACTTATAGTTTAGACACATCCGGAGGAATACTTCTTCGAGATTCTGTACGCAGAAGTAATCCAATAGATATTGTGGCGACTGTTCGACCAATAGTTTGCCTTTTCTCATAAGAGATATCTTTGTGATAGTTTTATAATTATAATTATCATAATTTAATATGTAATATGCATTAATGCTTACCACGTGTGCTCTTCGGGCCTCTTCTATATAATGAGTGGTTATTATAATAGTTGTCGACTCTGTTTGAGACAATTCTACCAAATGATCCCAAATTCTGTAAAAGAGGTAAATTTAATATTCAAACAATTGGGCAATAATTATGACAAACTTTTCTTTGAGGAGTGGATCGGTTCCCACTGTTGGCTCATCCAGTATAAGGAACGGCGGATTGTGGACCTAATTATCATCAAATTTACAATATATTTGTAGTAATTTTTATTATATTTACGAGTGCTATGCAAAGGGAAATCCGTCGCTTTTCACCGCAACTAAAATAATATATTGAAATTAATAAATAAAAGTTTATAAACCAATTACCTTAAGTCTTTTATAAGATGGTGAACATTGGGTAAATCAAACAAATTGACCAAAAAATCAATCCTCAAAAGTGTCAGCTCACGACTCATACCATATAATCTACAGTAATATTTGAGGGCTTCATGTAAAGTGATTTCATGAAAGAGTGCCAATTCCTCAATGAAATAAAATTGTAAATTTTGCGTTCATTTATTGTAAATAAACTAATTTTTAAAAATACTTGAGGCATAAACCCAACACCAATACCCGGAATATTATTACTCGGATCACTGGGTTTTGTGCCATTAATTTTAATTTTGCCAGATTTGGGCTTTAATAAGCCTAATTATTATATAAATAGCCAAGTATTAAATCAATTTATAATGCTAACTTCATAACAATACCCAGTATAAGCTTTAATAGACTCGTTTTGCCGCAACCGCTCGGACCCAACAAACCATATCTGGTTATACAGTATAAGAATCAGTGATTGTTAATTACAATTAAACATATGATTTAAATCTGATGGTCACTTACATCGCACCCTTTGGTACAGACATATCGAGTTTATCAATGAATTTGGATCTCTTATCATATGTGAAGACAAGAGACCGGATTTTGACCATCAGTTGTGTCCAATCGAGTGATTCAATGCTCTGACATCTAAACGAGTTCTTTTGGTCGGTGTCTTCGGCGTTAACCTTAAGATACATTTTACGCAACTTTTTGTTTAAAATATAAATTTTTCAATTCAATTACAGTATTATTGCATTTCATAACTTTAAAACTTTACAAATGTTTTGTCTAATAAAAACATTTGATTTAAAAAATATTTTATTAAAAACTATTTATAATTACAAACAAATTTCAATTAACAGAATATTTACAATTGCCTGATTTGTCACATCATGTCATATAACACGACATTATTTAAACACACATTTTGTAAATCTATGTTTAAATTTACATAAATTCTTGTCACAAAAAAATTGATTATTTAATTTCAAGTTTACGATAAAATAATCCACGAATCAAATCAAATATTATTTTAGTGTTGATATTAAGTTAGAAATTAAATAATAAGTCTATATTCGTATAAATATAACAATAAAATTAAATATATATTAATAGTAGTTATGAAGTAAAATATAAATAGTTATCTGTTATACTGTTATCACAATTACATTATTTTTTAAATCTTAATATTATAGACGCGAGTAATAGATAGAGAAAAATCCAGACAAATATCGACACGAAACCCAAATAGACGTATTGATAGGTCAGAGACCAGCCCTTCAGCATCACATTCCTCAGCGCTATTATGGATAGAGTTTGGGGCAGAAAATAGCTTATGTTTCTAATGACGGGCGGCATTCCCTCCAACGGCCAAATCACTCCTGATATCAGGAAATATGAATAAAACGATCCCAAAGAAGCCATTATAGCCGAGTTCTCCTCATTACAAACCGATGAGATCACAAGACCTGCAAAACAACCCAACAAATTAAATACAATTACAATTAAGTAATGAACACAAAACAAAATCAAACAGAAAATTCTAACCGAAACACATGCCGCCCACGCCTTGCATTAAAACAATGACTATAACTAATAACATATTGCCATTATTGGGCACTTCAAACACCAGAAACGTAAATATCATAAGAAGTGTCGCCTGAAGTGTGACGATAAAGAACTGGAGTATCACTTGAGAGGCCAGTATTTCATGCATCTTAAGGCCGGCGACCAGCGACCGCTCCATTAGGCCCTCTTTGCGCTCCACCACCAGAGTTAGTGCCGTCAGACCCACAGCCATGAAATAGATGACAGAAATGATGATTCCGGGCGCCATAAAGTCGCGAAAGTTCGGGTCCAACGAGCCGTAGATCGGGTCCATCATCTTTATGATGGGATCAAACACACGCACCTGTCGTCTCATCTGCGGGTCCTGATTGACAACCATATATCGATTCATTGTCTCCCGCATGAAGTCGTACTCCGCGTCGATCAACGTTTTGGTCAGCGTTTCCGTTATTATCATATCTTTTTTGATTAATTAAAAACAAATAAAACCATTAATTTAAGCCATTAATCAAATCAAACACTAATCAAATACCAGTAAAGTCTCCGAAGAATTGAATAGTACTGTAATCGATGTCATCGTCGGTGGCGTTAAATTTATTGGTAAACCTCTTGTAGAGACCAGTCGTGAAGTTTTGGTTGAATATAAGAGCGCCAAATATTTCGCCCGTATCTCTCACCGCATTAATTGCCGATTCATTTGACGTATAGTGTTTCTGTCATCAATTCATAAGCAGTTTTGATTCATTAATTAAAACTTTTCACATTTTTTCATTCAATTAAAACTTACAAAATTTATAGTCTTATTATTGACTTGACTTATAAACAATTGGCTCAATGTTGGGAACAATGAGAACGTGTTATTATCCACATATTCTCCATTATAAATGGCTATTTGAATATTATATGGTTTCGTTCCGATGCATAAACAGAATATTATGATACATATTGTCGGCAAAATGGTCTCAAATATCAGTAAACTATTCAACAAAATTATATTAGTTATGAAAATTGACAATTAATTGTAAATAGAAATTACGGTTTGTTTCTCATAAGTCTTATGCCATTCTTATGGGTTTGTGTCATCACTCGCTTATACGAGGAAACGGATCCTTTGCCCCGAACTTTCACTTCATTCCCGTTTAGCTTTCCGTTTGGTTTTTCAAAAGCGTTGTCCGCTTTATTACTGCTGTAAATAGCGATCGAGTCGTTATAATTCTGTGGCATATTCTGCACGCCTTTGTCTTCACACATCTTGAGAAACACTTCCTCCAGATTTTGGACACAAAAGTGTGTCAATAGGTGTTGAGGCGAGTGTTCAACGAGTAGTTTTCCTTCTCTCATAAGCGATATCTAAATTCATTCAATCATTTATTAACAGTTATAAACACATAATACTTCTTATTGTAAATCTATAAACTCATACCACGTGTGCTCTTCGGGCCTCTTCTATATAATGAGTGGTTATTATAATAGTTGTCGACTCTGTTTGAGATAACACTACCAAATGTTCCCAAATCCTACAGTGAATTAAATTAAAACAATTTTTAAACAACACTAAAGTATTTAACATAATAATAATGTCTGACCGCTCTCTTAACACTGGATCAGTTCCTACTGTTGGCTCATCTAATATAAGAATCGGTGGATTGTGGACCTGTTGGACACCAAATCCATAAACAAATCACAGTTTTATAACTCATTAAAATATTAGTCAAAGTATAATTACGAGCGAAAGAGACAGTGAGACACGTCTTTTCTGTCCACCACTGGATTTGTTAATAAAACACAATTAATAGTAAAACAAAACTAGATGTAAGATCTGTGGCATTACCTCATTGTGCCAATGAGTCTGTCGGCATCGGGCAGATCAAGAAAGTCGACCAAAAACTTGATCCTCGATAGTGTCAGCTCATCGCTCATACCGTATAATTTGCTAAAGTATTTGAGCGCTTCGTTTAAAGTGATCTCTTGAAAGAGAGCCAATTCCTAACCATTCAATCATTTAAACAAAATTAGTATAAATCAAATCGTTTATCAAATCATAGGCAAAATACTTGTGGCATAAAACCAACACCAATGCCGGGAATCTTGTTGGCCGGATCACCCGGTGGTTTGCCATTCACCTTCACTAAACCCATTTTCGGTTTAATTAATCCTATAATTAGTTATCGACAAAAATTAGTTTAAAGTAAACCCAAAAACATGTCATATAATACCCAGAATAAGTCGAAGTAGTGTTGTTTTCCCGCAACCGCTCGGCCCTAACAGACCATATCTGATCATAAATTGAACATTATATCAGTGTTAAAACAATCATCATATTCAATCATGGACATTTTATGGACTATTATCACTTACATAGCACTCTTTGGTACAGACATATTGAGTTTGTCAATGAATTTCTTCTTCCTGTCGTAACTGAAACTCAAAGACCGTATTTCGACCATCAGTTTCGTCCAATCGAGTGCCTCTATTTTATTGGACTGCGGCTCAGACTTCGAGACCGGACTGTCCATACTCTCCACGAAATCACTTCTCACCTTAATATACATTAGAATCAATTAAATTAACAAGAGTTACAAATTAACTATTGTTATATGAATTTCACGCAAAAATTAACATTAATTCAAAAATATATTTTTACTTTTTATGACAGAACTTTTTTATCGGATTTTAGCAAAAAAGAAAAATAACAGAAAAAACTTATTCAATATTTTTTATGCATTAATCAAATAGAGGAAAAAATGCCACCAAAATAATTGTCACATAGAAAACAGACAGCCGTTTGTGTCACAGAAAAACAGATTTCATGCATAAATTGTTAACTATTTGCTATTTAAAATGCAAACTAAATAACATAGTAATGAAAGAATATGAAAAATTAATTATATTTCATATTTACCCCATCGGTACAGGATTTGAATGAGCCGTACATTATATGATATCGTTAGAGACCAGACACTTATAAAACAACTTTTTTATTATTAATGCATGGATTTAATGGTAAAGTTATGACAAAAGTTAGATTCCGTGCACTTTCTTTGTGTTGAATAAAAGTCTCCGATTAGATAAGAGTTGTTTGTTTTGTTATTATAATTTTGCATTTAAATCGCAAACACTCTTATCATTAGTACAATGAATAGAGTCTATTGCCATCCCATATGCACTTGTTTTCGGATACTTTTTTTTAAATTTCCGCAATAATTATGTCTGTAATTTGCCCATTGATTCACACCTTAAATGTTTGCCATTACTTCTAATTTATGTTCAGTTTTCGCATTTAATTTACTTAATTATCTAACATGTTATGTATACTTTGAATGTTTTATATTTTCGATATAGAAAGTAGTTTTATCCATAGATTACAATATTAATGCTATTTATAAAATTCTGAATATTCAACAAAAAAACTTAATTCTTATCAATAGCTATACATTAATCAATAGTTATAACAATTGCGAAACTATTGAAATGTCAATTGATTTTAATATTTTACAAAATCGTTTATTGATTTAGTCCTATATTTGTCAGTCCTTTCCATAAGCACCTGAGGAAACCCGACCTGAGTCTAAACACCAAAATGTTTTCACACCACAAACTAAACATACATTTCTTATTTTTTTTGTATGCATTGCAATAGGAATTTGAAATATAAAACATATTTAAATTAAACGTTTTTACAAAATATTATTTAAAACGAATTCAATTGAAATTATCTATCATTTGAAAAGAAAGGAAAAGTGAATGTGATTTACAAATACTGATAATATCATAGCTATAGTCACTATTAGAGCGATTCCGTTTGTATTTAACATTTCACTTGATTGTCTTAATTAACAGATTAATGACTTCAAGTTTTGAAACTAATCTCCAGATATAGTATTGAATACAACGATAATGTTATCATGTATTGTCAATGAATGTCAATTAACACACAAACATATAATTAATAATTATTTTGCTGTGCATTTCATGTGCGATATAATTATGTAATCAAAAAAGGTTTTGTACACAAAAATCTTATTAAATAATAATAGTTAATAAATAATTGTATATTTCAATGGAAAAAAGTTGTTATCAACAAAATAACAGTAAAAACTGCATTCAATTGACATTCAATACAATAATCATTTGATTTTCATTAGATTTAAGCGTTAAAAGCGATTCACATAACGATTCAAACTGAAGGTTAAGCGCAAAAAACACACATAAAACATAAAATTCAAACACAAAACTAATGGCAATGAAATCAAATGGTTATCAAAGAGCGAAAACCACTGTATAATCAAATTAGAGATCATTATCTTCATCAGCAAATACCTGTCCGGATCTGATCCCAGAGTTGGCACCACTATTGGCATCCATAATGAGATTCGCTTCTTCTAATTGAGTTAAATTATCAAATATTTGGTCCACATCTGAGTGACTGGCGGACGACACGGACACCGCAGATGTGACCGCACTTCGGGGCCTATTCTTCCTCTGAGTCAACCTTTTATTCATTCTTTCGGAAAATCTCATCAAATTTCGGCCGTTTTTCGTATTCATATGGCTTTCGGCCGATTGTAGGGCCAGTTTGGCGGCCGTTCCCGACACCACTTCCGTCACGTCTGTGGCCGCCGTCGGCAGCCCTCGGCTCTCATGCGATTCCATATGGGATGACATTTACTCCCGATTCATGTTTTAACCGTTATATTCAACAATTAGTTATTGACATTCATTTTGCTATCAATTGATTCATACATTTAAATGCATTTCAATTTTAAATCTCGGTATAAAACACGTGAATTTCCGCTAACTATAGCCTATTTTAGTACATGTATTGCTATTATTGTATCGCTTTTTACCCCATATTATCGGTTAAAATATTGGGTTAACTCACGAGTTATTAATTGATTTATGTTAGATATGGTTAAGTAAATAGTAGTTTACTATTAGTTATGCAATAATTGAGTGTATAATCAACATTGAAGGGGAGGAGAGGGGGAGAGACAGACAGAAGTGGTAAACACTTAAGGCTTAAGTCAGTTGTTTTGGGCGAGAATTGGGTCACAATTACTGTCAATACAACGATCTCATCGATAATACACTGCATATAGAGTTGTATTCAAACAACAATTGTATTGAAAATTTCAATTCAAAATCAACGCACGAAATGATGGCTCAAATCAATTGATTGGCGCTATTCGTAGACAACTTCCCATTTAGAGGACAATTTGACCGCAATATACATGTATGCGCTTAAGGGTAGGGTTGACCACATTATGCTAACCTAAACATATGCATGCATTTCATAATTAATGTGGCAATCACAATTAATCGAAATATTGTACCAAGGTCATTTCCATTACCATTCACGTGATTATAGGGGCCGTAATCACTGTAAACCCTAGCCGTGAATGACTCACACATTTCAACCCCAATGAACACAACTATTATACTAAACCAGCGGTCAATGTATGCGACGACTGTTATATAGCGCTCAGCCATTGGTCAACACATTTTTGCACAATCGACTCAATTTGAATCATGTTATGAGTCATACAATTCACCCCTTTATAGCCAAACCATCGCATATTATTGGCCACACAAACCATTCACACGGTTTAGTCACAGTCACGCAGACATTGGCCCTCAACTCACTCACGCGTCACTCTATCTACGAATGGCCCTCCACTGCGATACGCTGTAAAGGGGGCGAACGGGGGGCGCGTATAGCAGACAAGTGTACGTCATCTACGAAGAGGACAATGAATTGTGTGCCACAAAAAACAGACGATTGAATGAATGAATGCATGAATCGATTGATTGCTTGCTTTTGAAGACCAGCTGTCGATACAAAAGCCATTTACAAACGGGTTGTCCATCAGTGAAGACACGCTATGACTGCGGCGAAGAGCACGTGGACTGAAGTGATGGATCAGTTGGAGTACTACTTCTCCGACATTAATCTAATGAACGATCACTTCATGCGTTCGGCCGCTAAGAAGGACGACGGATGTGAGCGAACGGATCCCACCAATGGATCCATGAGTTGTTGTTTACCATACGATCCCATCGGCGCTAACCATCGATGTCTTTGATTGCCACCACTAATAGGGCTATCGTTGGATACGTTGATGCGATTCAAGCGTCTGAACGGATTGGTGGACAACTCGGCGGACGCGTTGACCGCAGCGCTCGAGAAGTCGCGCTCCGATTGGTTCGAAGTGAACGCCGCGAACGATAAGGTGAGGCGCCGGCCGACGAAGCCGTTGCCACAGGTGTCGGACCAGTTGACGGCCAGTCTGGACGAGCGCACACTCTTCGTGACCGGTTTCCCGCCGAAGACCACCGCCGATGAGCTGATCCATTGGTCCAAACAGTTCGCTGGCGTCCTATCCGTGCGGCCCAACCGTTTGAAGACCAGCCGTCTCTTCGACGGCACCGTTTCGGTGATATTCACCGATAAGTCGATGGCCGACAAAATGCGCGCTCAATCGGGCGTCGCCTTCAATGGCCACGAGTTGGCCGTCGAGACAAAACTGGAGCACAATTTCCGTCAAAAGGCTTTGATTCCCAAACACGGCAACAACGGCTCGAAGGGAACCGTTGGGTACGTATTGTTTGTTGATATAATTAAATGACTGATTGATGCCATGAACTGACTCACCGATTGACAGCCCGACCACTAATGGACACACCGATAGTGAGGCCAAAAAGGGTACGAATCCAATAGTCGTGAAGTTGATTGGATTGAAGCGAAGCGTTTCCGTTGATCGCATTAAGAAGTGTTTGTCTCTTTACGGACGAGTGGTTTATGTCGGCCGACACCCGACCGGCTATTGTTTGGCACATTTCGCCGATCGATCCGATGGTTTGCGTCTATTGGCCGACAGTATCGGCCCGACAGCGGAGGACGCGAAGGGAGTGACCGGACATAAGGTTTGTATCGCCAAAAACGAAGTGACGGCCCAACTGTTGACCGAAGAGGAAGAGAAGCAGTTCTGGTCTGTAATGGTTGAGAAGACTGTGCGACACAATCGGCTCCGAAAGCAAGCGAACGAACACAAGAAGCGCAAGCGATCGGTCAGTCATACAGTCGTCGATAGCGCCAAACGTTTGGCCCAAAGCTAGACATCGGGACACTTCTGGACACGTATTTTGTTTTCATTTAACGATTAGTTATTTCTCTTTATTAGAATAGCATTTCATTTATAATTTTGTTTTGATTTTTGTTTTTTCTTGTAATCAATTTAAAGTTTAATTTCATTTTGTTGTTGATTTCAAATTGTGTTTTGTAGTGTTTTTAAATGACATAATGTTTGCAATGTTTAGAGATCTTTGTTAATTTTCACCATAGTTTTGATACCATATATTACTTAATACCATTTTCTTAATAAAGTTTATGCCAACGTTTTGGTAAGCATTTCAAACGATTGTTAATTTATTGATTGTGTTTTGAATTCAGTATTGATTAAACACTGAATTGTATTTACAATAGTTTACGAGTCGTCTAATTATGGATTCTTAGTTTATATGACTTTATGGTTAAGGGATTGTAGTATAAGAGTAGAGGAATGGGTTGTGATTGTAATTACAAGACAATTAGTGAGTATTGTTTAATAATTGATTGCTATTTAGACAACATTTGTTTTATTAGCACTGATTTTAAAGACAATTTTTTTAATTCATAATTTGTTTCAATCGATATCTTCGGGTCTTTATTACTAGCTTTGTATTTGACTTCTTATGCAAGTTTTGTATTGATTTTGCCCTTCATTTCGAGTGATATTTACTGAATTCAAAGTTTACTAAAACAATGACTGAATTTGTGTTTGCATTAAGACTTTGGATGCAATTCTTGCGGCCGTCTGTCCACGAGTTTGAGTCCAAGAGTTGGCCAAACATTCTGTCATTGGATTGAAAGCCAAACATTCCTACGAAAGGAAATATGTATTGAAAGGCAGACGTGAACTGAATGTCAAAGTTGTTTGAATTGGCAAATATGAAGGCAATGGATGTCGAGGTCTTGGGATCACTTAATTCAAAGTCCAAACTGTTCTTGAATTGAGACAACTGTTCAAAATAGGCCGACGAGTCTGTTGTGGACATTATAAAACTTGCAGTTCTGACCCGATGTCCACCAAATGTGAGGAAAATATGGTCCAAAAGGAACGGACATTTTGACAAAGTTTTGGCCGCAATCACAGATCCGCCGCCAAACGAGACATTGTTGTCAATCCTTGAGACCAATTGGTTGATGGCATCAGTGGTTTGCGAGTCTCTGAGTACACCCTTTGGAGTTCTGTCTCTCAGTCTCGAGGACTCGAAGAATAAAACACACGAAACATCTTTGGTGTTCACCTCTTCGGCCGAATAATAAGCATTTACTTCAATGCCTTCGATGTCTGGAATCAATAGCGATGTCAAACCTATTGGTGGCAAACATGACATGAATTTATAATTAATAAAAATTATCATTAATTGAAAATACATGGAAATGCAGTCCTTTGGAAGAGATTTCTATCGCTTTGGTTTTGATGACCACTAAAATTGGTTAAACTTTTCCACCGAATACTACTCGTGAGGACAGTCTTCCCGACGTCTAAGTAAGTGATTTGGCAGTCCTTCGGAAGGCCGGCACTCATCTGTTGCACTGAATTCTCTTTCCGTCGGTAATCAATGTCCTGACGATAGCCACCGATCAGAACCAACACGTGTTTGGGTCTCATATTTAGCCACCGATTGCTGTAATGACTGAATGACTCGAACAGTCTTTGGGAGTCATAAAGAGGCGATTCTTTGAGGAACTCGTAGTTCAAGAGATAGAGATGTATAATGTCTTTGCGTTTCTCGTATTCATAAGCGGACGCATCGAAGAAGTCTTTGGACACCGAATGACTTGCGAACAGAGATCTGATGTCGAGTTCGCTAACGATTCTTGCGATCAAATATGGATTATTGAGGACTAACTCCTGACTGTCTTGAGTAACATTGGTGTCCATCGGTTCCAAAACACTTGCATTTGGATCCGAATCGCAAGTAATACTTGTATCCATTGTATGGTAAGGACTGGACTTTGGGTCTGAAGTCTTAAAATAACTGATTTTATGATTTACTGTTGACTATAACTGTATAACTGTTTCTATAAATTGAATTTCAATTGTTTAAATCGATGCGAAAATAGTCTCGCATTCAATAGTTAATCAACACATTATTAGGTCTAAAATTACATTTTATTAAAACAATTAAATATGAATTGAATACAAATTAAAAGTAAACGACGAGAAAACAAATGAATTGATTTTACGAGAAGAAAAAAGTAAATTAAAATAAGTGAAAAATATACAAATAAAACAAAGTATTAATCAAACCATATCACTAATTGTGTCAATGAATTTACTAACTTGTAACTAAACTACCCTACAATGTAGTGGCCATAAATTGTAAATTGTTATATATATTTAATAAGATTTACAATTAAATAATGAAATAACTGATAGCATTGGCACTCATATGTACGCAAACAGATATTAATTTTTCGCTATTTCATCAAATATGAAATGAAAACAATTGATCGAAAGTGTGGACAACTTTGACAAAGACTTTGGTCCGCCATCTCCTAAATAATAAGTAAATAAATTTTAATTTAACATTTTTATTTTGTATTTACATCTCTTTATTGGATCCAATCTTTAGCACATTTCTATAATCGTGGTCACAATTCTTTTAAATTCTTTAACAATAATTTTAAATCATTTATCATTAAAGTGAAAAGATATGTACAGTAATAATATGTACAGTAAACTATTTAATAAATACATTTACTTTGACACTAAATTCAAAGCGAAAAATATTATTGGAAAATAAAGTTTTCAATTAAGTTGTTGTAAATCTATACACGTATGAGTTTTGTTAATTAAAACATTAAATAAATCAAAATATAAAATAGTTATTATATTTTTACGAAATGACATCCATATAGTGTTCCCAGGCAAAATTTCAATTTCCTTAATAAAATCCTTTTTAATACACATGATTGTACATAATGTACAGGATTTCTTGACATTACTTTAAATTTGAATAAAAATCCTTTGAACTTTTTATGAGCGCTCAAATTATGATTATAATATGTTAAATTTTTGTTAACAATATGGAATAATAAAATCATTTTATGTGATATCTTAATAATATCATATAAATTATATGATATAATATAAAATAAATACTAGGATCTATTAACACAATAAGATTGAGAATTGAAAAACAATGCATTTTAATCTTTATAGTTGTTTACATATCACAATATTTTGTAATTCATTTTGTTTATTATTTGATACTAAAAGTTAAAGATTTCAAAGTTCTTAAGCAACTCTTGCAAAATAAAATTCATTGAATTTCCCATATAGAGGACACACCCCATGATTCAGGTCTAAACTCTACTTCCTTGAGAATAAAGGAATTTCTTGACGCTTTGGGAACACTAAATCCGTATGCTTTTTGGAAAGCCATTTATGGGCTCTTATGGTGTGAATAATTGTTAATATTGTCTGTTAAACACAAAATGGTGTTCAAATTGCAGTTAAAGAGCACTGCTTTAGTGTTATGTGTATTAGTATTAAGTGATCAGCTTCTGGAGGGACTGTCACTTCCGGACAGCGAAGGCGGTGAAGGAGACGATGACTATGAGGGAGAGTCAGCACATCCAAGAAGAGGAGGAAAAACGGGAAAGAAAGGGAAAGGGAATGACAATCCCATCGGTTTGCCAAATGGGGGTAAACTACCCAAGGCCGGCGGTGCTATCGGTAATATTGTTGGCACTGGAGTTCAGACCATCAAAAAGGGCACAATGAGTGGTTTGGCTCAAGCACTGGACGATCGGTTCATTCAAGTCGATACGTTGGGTAACCCTCACGGAGGAGTTCCCGAAGACGTGATCGGACACGTCCGGCTCTGTGCGTGAGTACATCAAACACAATATCAATTATGCAATGCATTGATCCCTATTGACTGTAAACTATAGGCAAGTCGTGTACTCCGGAGTCTATATAATAGTTTACCTTTTCATTCGCTATCCATTAAAAATCTTATCGAAAGCCATTTTGTTGACGGGAACTATTGGCCATATAATCGCATACGCGAGTTGGTGTCTAAACCCACTCGCATGGCTAGACTGGACAGAGGACGGCAAGAAAGTCAATACACATAATGAACGTCTCGCCCAATACAAGGATGAAATGAAGGGCCGACTAATTTGGACCGTAGATAAGGGTCGACACGAAGACAAACAGATGTACGCGTGTTGGTATGTATCGCACCCATACTTATACATCGTTCACGTAATTTTAATTATGGGTTACTATTTACAAATGAATTCAAAACTTTGTTTGCAGTTCTCTTCAGGACTGGAAAAAGAAATCGATAGCCGAAGTGCCCGAAGCCATAGGTTATATGGAGTCCTACTTTTTTCGACTCTACAAACTCTGTGAACTTCTTTACTGGTCAGACATTTACCATAAATTATATCAAAGTAATTGATAAACTAATATATGAATTACTTATTAACAAGTATAGCATGAAATACCAATACGGGTCTCAAGCCTGCGATGAAGTGGATCTGTCGCCCGCTAACGAAGAGCCAGAAAGAGTTTTACCACAATCTCATGTTCCCATTTGGTTTGAATTGTTTGATCAGTTCCTATAAATAACAAACAGAACTCCTTTTATTTTATTATTATTTATAAAGTGATCACAACATTAACTATATTTATGTTTGACTCTATTTTGTTGGACTTCGGGACAGAATAGAAACAAATTTTTCACTATTTTTATGTATTAATAAAATAGAGGAAAAAATGCTATAAAAATGGTCACATATAATAGAATTTAATATTTTTAATAATAATTTAGTTGTGATAATCATTATTGACTAATTAGATAATGAACATATGATTGACAATTAGTACTTTGTCTACTTTTTTTGTTGGTCGTATTGATAACACTGGCATTCATAGACATTTATTTAGCACTATTTTATCAACTTTTATAATTAAAACAATAATTGACGGGGAGGGAGCAAACGATCCTATTAACCACATTATTCATATCTAAATTGTGGTTAAAATATATTTATTTTGTACTTAAATTTCAATGCGAGTAATACTACTGAAAAATAATGTTTTCAATTAAGTTGTTGTAAATCTATACACGTATGAAATTATTGATTAATTTAATCAAAAAATAGCTAATTAAATTTTTTATAAAACACACTCCATATGTCTATTAGGCCGCCATTGATGGGCTTTTATGGTGTAAATAATTGTTAATATTGTCTGTTAAACACAAAATGGTGTTTAAATTGCAGTTAAAGAGCACTGCTTTAGTGTTATGTGTATTAGTATTAAGTGATCAGATTCTGGAGGGACTGTCACTTCGGCCCAGCGATGGAGACGAAGGAGACGATGACTATGAGGGAGAGTCAGCACATCCAAGAAGAGGAGGAAAAACTGGAAAGAAAGGGAAAGACAATCCAATTGGTTTGCCAAATGGTGGTAAATTACCTAAGGCGGGCGGTGCTATCGGCAACATTGTTGGCACTGGAGTCCAGACCATCAAAAAGGGCACAATGAGTGGTTTGGCTCAAGCACTGGACGATCGGTTCATTCAAGTCGATACGTTGGGTAACCCTCACGGAGGAGTTCCCGAAGACGTTATAGGACTCGTACGGCTCTGTGCGTGAGTACATCAAACACAATATTATTTATGCAAAGTTCATGCAATGCATTGATCTCTATTGACTGTAAACTATAGGCAAGTCGTATACTCCGGAGTCTATATAATAGTTTATCTTTTCATTCGCTATCCATTAAAAATCTTATCGAAAGCCATTTTGTTGACGGGAACTATTGGCCATATCATCGCATACGCTAATTGGTGTCTAAATCCCCTTTCATGGCTAGACTGGTTGGAGGATGGCAAGAAAGTCAATACACACAATGAACGTCTCGCCCAATACAAAGATGAGCTAAAAGGCCGACTAATTTGGACTATAGATAAGGGTCGACACGAAGACAAACAGATGTACGCGTGTTGGTATGTATTGCACCCATACTTATACATCTTTCATGTGATTTTAATTATGGGTTACTATTTAACAATGATTTCAAAACTTTGTTTGCAGTTCTCTTCAGGACTGGAAAAAGAAATCGATAGCCGAAGTGCCCGAAGCCATAGGTTATATGGAGTCCTACTTTACCCGACTCTACAAACTCTGTGAACTTCTTTACTGGTCAGACAATTGCCATAAAGTATAGCAAAGTAATTAATAAACTAATACATGAATTACTTATTGACAAGTATAGCATGAAATACCAATACGGGTCTCAGGCCTGCGATGAAGTGGATCTGTCGCCCGCTAATGAAGAGCCCGATAGAGTTTTACCACAATCTCATGTTCCCATTTGGTTTGAATTGTTTGATCAGTTTTTATAAATAATAAATTATTATAATTATTTCTAATAAGAATACACTTCATATTATAATAATTATTTATAAAATGATCGCCACATTAACTATTATTGGCTCTAAATTGTTGGACTTGTAAACGAAAACAGAAAATATTAGTTTAATATTTGTTATGTATTAATAAAATATAGATAAAATTCTACCAAAATATTGTTGCAAAGAATTTAATATTTAAAATAACTGCTGAAGTATTTATGATAATCATTATTGACTGAATCATTATTCATTGAGAATCAGAACTTTATTGTGGGCCGTATTGACAACACTTGGATTCCGAATATAATCGACACAAAGTGTGGTAATATTGCCAAATACTGGCCAACTTTGGTCGCCATCTTCTAAATAATAACCAAATTTATTCATTATTAAAAAGTAATTGATTTTTAATTCTTGATTCAAAATGTTTGTGTTTATATGCTTTTATTTTATCCACTTTTTGACAGATTTCCACAATCGTTGACAAAATTCCTTTAAATTATTTGAAAATAATTTTAAATCATTTGTCATTAAAGTATGAAAGTTTTGTATTTGGTAAACACATTTACTTTTGTCTTTAAATTCAAATCGAGTATTAATATTGGAAAACTTTTCTAATTAAGTTGTAATTCAATACTCGTATTAGTTTTATAATGAATTCATTAATTAAAACAACCAAAAAATTAATTAAATATTTTATGAGACAAACTCCATATGCTTATTGGACAGCCATTTATGGGCTCCTATGGTGTAAATAATAGTTAGTATTGTCTGTTAAACACAAAATGGTGTTCAAATTGCAGTTAAAGAGCACTGCTTTAGTGTTATGTGTATTAGTATTAAGTGATCAGATTCTGGAGGGACTGTCACTTCCGGACGGTGGCGAGCGCGAGATTGAGTTGGAATACGAACATGGTAAAGCATCGAAAGACAAAGAGGGCAAAGACGGTGAGGGAGACGGCGATGGAGACGACGCCAAAGCGGGAAAAGGGAAGAAAGCGGAAAAGGGGGGCGAAGAGAGTGCGGGCGGTGATGGCGACGACGAGGGGCCCAAAGGAGGCAAAAGTGGTGGCAAAGGAAAGGGTGGCAAAAAAGGAAAGGGAAGCGACGACGAGAGCGGTGCCGATGGCGATGGAGAGGGAAAAGCAAAGGGAAAGAAAGGAAAAGGAAAGGGAGGAAAATCGGGAAAGAAAGGCGAAGAGGAAGGCGAGGGCGGAGGCGATGGCGACGGCGGTGAAAAAGGAGAAGACGGCGAAGAAGGAGACAAAGGAGGGAAGAAAGGAAAAGCCAAAGGAAAGGGTGGAAAGTCAGGCAAAGGGAAAGGAGGCGATGGAGAAGAAGAAGACGCCGAAGGAAGTGGTGGTAAATCAAAGAAGAAGAAGAAGACCGGAGACGGCGATGAAGGAGAAGGAGGAGACGGTGAAGGAGGCGGAGAGGGAGGCGATGGCGACGATGACAGCAAAGGAGGAAAGAAAGGGAAGGCAAAAGTGGGAAAAGGAGGCAAATCGGGAAAGAAAGGGAAAGACAGTTCAGATGGAGGTCTGGGCAAGATTGGAAAGGCTGGCGGTGCTATTGGGGGTATTGTTGGCTCTGGAGGTCAGACCGTGAAAAAGGGCACAATGAGTGGTTTGGCCCGCGCTCTGGACGACCGGTTCATTCAGGTCGACCTCATGGGCAACGCTCACGGAGGAGTGCCCGAGGACTTGATAGGACACGTCCGGTTGTGCGCGTGAGTACAGCAAACACAATACTTTTATTGCAAAGTACATGCAATCCATTAATTTCTAATGACTGTAAACTATAGGCAAGTCATATACTCCGGAATCTATATAATTCTTTACCTTATTATCCGCTATCCGTTGAAAATCTTATCGAAAGCCATTTTGTTGACGGGAAGTCTGGGCCATATCATCGCATACGCCAATTGGTGTGTGAATCCCATCTCATGGATGGATTGGACGAGTGATGGCAAGAAAGTCAATACACATCTCGAACGGCTCGTCCAATTCAAGGATGAGATGAAGGGCCGACTTATTTGGACTGTGGATAAGGCCCGACACGAAGACAAACAGATGTACGCGTGTTGGTATGTATCGCACCCATACTTATACAGCAATCATATGATTTTAATTTTAATTGTCATTTACTATTTATTACTGAATTCAAATGTAATTTCGATTCTTTGTTTGCAGTGCTCTTCAGGAGTGGAAAAAGAAAAGTACGGCCGAAGTGCCCGAAGCCATAGGTTATATGGAGCAGTACTTTACTCTACTTTACAAACTCTGTGAAATACTTTACTGGTCAGACATTTACCATAAATGTTATAAAACTGATTGAAAAACTAATATATCAATTACTTGTCAACAACTATAGCATGAAATACCAATACGGGTCTCCGGCCTGCGATGAAGTAGATATGTCCCCCTCTAACGAAGAGCCAGAAAGAATTCTACCAATGGCCCATGTGCCCATTTGGTTTGAATTGTTTAATCAGTTCATATAGATCATAATTTATTATTAATAAACACAACAACACCTCTCATATTAATATTCAAATAATAATAATTATTATTATTTATAATGCAATCACAAAATGCACAATAATTATTGTTATAATTATGGTTTTCTGTGGGAATTACTTTCTATTCAAGTGATTGTAATTTTTAAACATTATGTGTAATAAATAAACTTTTAATTAACAAATTTGATTACTTTTTATTGCAACTCAAACAATACAATCAATTTTCAAACAATTTAGAAGAATTGTACAAAAAGTTCAATAACCAATGTAACCCATGATCGGGGTAATTCACGGTTTGGCTCCAGGTCTATATAAACACAATTTATCGTAATTAATATATTATAATAATTATTATACAGTACTCCTATTTATACCAATAAAATCAAAGTCTTTGCAATACTTGTCCTCTTGATCTTTGGTGAAGATTTGACAATAGATTACCTGTTGTTTGCAATTAGTATTACATTAAATCATTTGCAAATAGTTATAAAAAGTGTTCAAATGATAACCAAATAAAATAAGTTATAACCCAAATAATTAATATTAATGGTACTCATACTATACCTCATGTATGGTAAAGAACATGGTATAATATTGTTCAATAAAGTCGCGTGCCCCCGATGGTGCGGTCTTGATCATTTTGTTTCGCCAATCAAAGAACGCGCTGATAAAAATTGACACCAATATAAATCAATTATTGCAAACTTTAATTAAAGCAACATAATTATTGCCAAAACGCTGGGCACCCATAAGAAGCCATTGGGGACCCACTGGTCCGGGAAGGGACGAGAGGAGACACGTGTCCGGGTTTGCGGGCGGCGGTGGAGCGCACAAATCGGAGACCGAGTCGGTGAAAGCGCCGCCATTAAAGCCGCATCAAATGGAATTCTCCAAACGGTTCTGGAAAAAGTTGAACGCAGAGCAGAAGCCCAAGAAGATCGACGGCGCGAAGGCTCGGGCCAAAGGGGGCGGCGGTAAAGGCAAAGGGAAGGCAGCGAAAGGCTTTTCCGGCGGCGACGACTACGACGACGGGGAAATGCATAGAGAACTCGCCAATTACGGTAAGATTATGCCGAGCGGTGGTATGATTTTCTTCGACGACTTGGTCTGGAAGTTCTTCCCGCTGGGCGACGCTTACGGCGGTCTTCCCGATAAGTATATACTTTATCCGCACTTTTTTCTGTCATAAACTGTTTCAGTAATGTTGTTGTCTTTTAGTATCGTATCGATGGGTTTGTACTGTATGTAAGTATTTAAACCGTTTTTAAAATGTTAACTGTTAACTAATTAACTAATGGTTGATGCGGTTAGATATGCATTCACTATGACATTATAGTAAATTATTAAATTCATTACACATATGTTTAAAATTGGTTATTTAGTTCAAAATTGCAAATTTATTAGCAATTATTAAATACTAAAATTTATAGTTATTAGTAGTAATAACTTACTACTAATCACCGATTCTTAATGTTTAACATGAAACTAGAAATACACTACTGAACGGCGCGATAGCTATTGCCTACACAACCATCCGATGGCCGCATAAAATATTGATTAAGACAATGATAGTGATCGCCGCCATCGCATTCTTACCCACAAACGGCATGTATTGTCTGAATCCGCTATCAATGGCCAACTTTGTGAAGAAGGGCGGTATCATAAACACCAAACAGACAGAGATGGCTACGATTACGAAGGAATTTCAGACACGACTGGCCAACTCGATCGATAGGATTCCCACCATGATGGGCATTAAGAAACACTCGTGCTGGTCAGTCATTGTTCATAATTATGTTGCTTTAATTAAAGTTTGCAATAATTGATTTATATTGGTGTCAATTTTTATCAGCGCGTTCTTTGATTGGCGAAACAAAATGATCAAGACCGCACCATCGGGGGCACGCGACTTTATCGAACAATATTATACCATGTTCTTTACCATACATGAGGTATAGTATGAGTAGCATTAATATTAATTATTTGAGTTATAACTTATTTTATTTAGTTATCATTTGAACACTTTTTATAACTATTCGCAATTGATTTAATGTAATACTAATTGTAAACAACAGGTAATCTATTGTCAAATCTTCACCAAAGATCAAGAGGACAAGTATTGCAAAGACTTTGATTTTATTGGTATAAATAGGAGTTCTGTATAATAATTATTACAATATTTTAAATACGATAAATTGTGTTTATATAGACCTGGAGCCAAACCGTGAATTACCCCGATCATGGGTTACATTGGTTATTGAACTTTTTGTGCAATTCTTCTAAATTGTTTGAAAATTAATTGTATTGTTTGAGTTGCAATAAAAAGTAATCAAATTTCTTAATTAAAAGTTTATTTATTAGTAATAAATTATTACACATAATGTTTAAAAATTACAATTAACAATCACTTGAATAGAAAGTAATTCCCCCCGAAAACCATAATTATAACAATTGTTCATTTTGTGATCGCATAATAAATAATAATAATTATTATTATTTGAATATTAATATGAGAGGTGTTGTTGTGTTTATTAATAATAAATTATGATCTATATGAACTGATTAAACAATTCAAACCAAATGGGCACATGGGCCATTGGTAAAATTCTTTCTGGCTCTTCGTTAGAGGGGGACATATCCACCTCATCGCAGGCCGGAGACCCNAGAGAGAGAGAGAGAGAGAGAGAGAGAGAGAGAGAGACCAAGTGTCTAAATATTATTTTGTTACAGTATACTTTCAATGGGAAAATATTGTATGTAAGTAAAACCCCAATTATATTATTTTGTGACATATTTTGTTAATAAAACTAATTTAATGATTATGTTTGAAGTGAGTTCGTAATAAAAGGCATTTTGGGCTTAATATACACGACTGTGAGATATCCGCACAAAATCTTAATGAAGACAATGTGTGTGTTGTGCGCTCTGGCGTGGCTTCCGATGAATGCCCTGTACTGTATTAGTCCCATAAGTATGTCTAACTTCGTGTCCAAATCCAAGATCATAAACAGAAATCACGACGAAATGGCAAAAGTGCAGTTTGAGTGGAAGACACGGATGGCCAACGCCTTGGACAGGGTTTACGTGCTCTCAGACCTACTCAAGATGTCGTGCTGGTCAGTATAGCCACATAATGCACCTTAAATGGTGTCCGCATCAATAATTACATATATTATTTAATTATATTTATTTCTTATATGCAGTGGATTTGTTGAGTATAAGAGAAAATCAATTGAGGCCACACCCGATGAGGCCAAGGAGTTTGTGGCCTCTTATTTCGGATCGTTTTGGAAAATGCAACAAGTTAGTTTCCATTTAGACGTTTTTAGTTAACATGGAATTATTTACTGTATAGTGTATACAGTATTTGCAATTTTACATTGTCTAAAAACAATAACACTTTGTAACAACAGGTGGTCTATTGTGGGGAATATCAAGACGGGTCGCCTGAATGCGAAGGCATTGAATATATCGGTAAATTGACTAATTTTTATGACAAGGATTTTAATTATGCTTATATTTAAATTTAGATGATGAGCCTGGTCGAATATTACCACGATCATGGTTGACGCTCTTCATAGAAAAGTTCACAAAATTCTTTTAATTTCAATTATTTACAAATATTGGCTTCAATTTAATAAAACAAATTGGTTTTTAAAACGAAACAATATTTTGATTTAATTAATGTTTTAAATATAATTATTATAACTTATAGTGCAGTTATGAACGTAAATAACAAGCATATACTGATTGATCTGGTTAAAATTGATCAATGTTGTATTTAGTTAAGTATAACGTTATTTATTTAAATATTTAATTAAATTTAGTAATAAATCGTGTCAGTATATAAATTAAAAATATTTAATCAATGATAATATAGTAATAATAAAAACTTAATTAAATTTTAATTAATAAAAATATTAATTGCATTCAAACGTTAAGCAATACGTGAATACATTTCAAATATGTCCCTCTTTTAAAATGAAGGATTTTGTTTATTAAATTAAAAAAACAATTTAATAAATGCGATAACAAAGCGATGCCTTCATTAAAAGTGGTTATCATATCTATAATATTTAATGTGATTTTGAATGTTGAGGGACAGTATGACGGGTCGGAAATTGTTGAACACGTAAGAGTATATGGTTACCCTCACGGTGAACCACACCCGGGCGGCCATCTACACCATTACGAGCATCATGGACACCCACACGATCACCCACACGGACACCAACACCATCATCCCTACGGCCATCCACATGGAGGTCATCCGTATGGCGGTCACCCACACGGAGGTCACCCATACGGTGGTCACCCACACGGCGGACACCCGTACGGTGGAGGGCCACACCACTCCCATCCGGGTCCGTACGCGCCGATGGGTCGCCATTGGGCGCCACGACATCATTACGAGGCCGACGACGACGACGAGTCGCCAAAACGCTGGGCACCCATAAGAAGCCATTGGGGACCCACTGGTCCGGGAAGGGACGAGAGGAGACACGTGTCCGGGTTTGCGGGCGGCGGTGGAGCGCACAAATCGGAGACCGAGTCGGTGAAA